GGTAGGTTCTGGGTGACTTGTTCATGGCAAAAAGAATTTCAGGCAGTGTGTAAAACTCAAGAAAAGAGAGGTGGTTACACAGGAAAGCAGCCAAATAGGGTAAAGAGTGTTCTGAAGAGTCCCCTAACTCTACTCTCATCATGCCTCAAAAATAAGAATGGTAAGTTTAATACAAACTTCTCCAAAGTAAATGGATACAACACCGTTAGTGAGAAAATACTTAGAGGTAAGCAGGAAAGAGTAAGCACAGCATTTGATTTGGAAAAGAAAAGTCAAATTATACTCCATGTAATTTGAAAAGTATATACTTCTAGTAAACACTTTTCACATTATGCTTAAGGTATTTTTAAAAAACTTACTTTCCTAAATTTATTTTCCAGAAAGCACCAAATTAACAAATATTATTAATATCTTCAACTATTTTCTGCAGCAATTACAGCATACCAAAGACTGGGTAATTTGTACAGAATTTTTGTTGTTGTTGTTGTTCTGGAGGCTGGGAAAGCCAGGATCAAAGGGCCCCATGGAGTGAGGGCTTTCTTGATACATCATAATATGGTGGAAGGCAACACAAAGTTAAGAGAGAGTGTATGAGGAAAAAAGTAAGCAAGAGAGCAAAAGGGGGTCAGAATTCACCAGAATTTAATCATTAACCTATTCTCATAATAATGGCATTAATCCATTCATGTGAGTGAAGTCTACATGTGCTGCAGTCTGGCTGACCACAAAATAACCGAGCCGCCACGAGAAACTTGTAGGTTCAAACAGGAACTACTTTATTGCCCGAACTCTCACCAGCACTTCACGCGCACTCCCCGGGCATTCTCCCAGCCCTCCACGAGGCTCAACGGGAACTCCATGAGAACTCAAAAGTAGCGGTCAAGTGAGGCAGCAGGAGCCGCCCTATTGCTGGACAGCAGGGGTCTATATACAACTGAATACACAGCCTGTTTCAATCCAGCATCCTCCAGTCACAGCAATTATACACAGGTTAACTTAATTATCATCTTAATGGCTCCCTGGCGTCACCTCTCAACCACCCCTTCTGGCAAAATGCCAGGCGCCATCCCGACTTCACTGTGGCTCTCAACACACATGATCTAAATACCTCACATTAGGCCCACCTCTTAATAATCTTACAATGGCAATTAAGTGAGTTGAGGGGATCATTCAAACAATAGCAACCAAGTATAATGACTGATAAAAGATCAATGTAATATTGATTGGCATTTGTAAAAAAATTTTTAGTTGTAGATGGACATGTTACCTTTTTAAATTTTTTTTTTTAGTTGTTGATGGACACAATACCATTATTTTATTTATTCAGTTTTTCAAGTGGTGCTGAGAATCGAACCCAGTGCCTCACACATGCTAAGGCAAGCGCTCTACCACTGAGCCACAACCCAACCCTATCTTTCCTTTATTTATTTTTACATGGTGCTGAGGATAGAGCCCAGTGCCTCACATATGCTACACAAATGCTCTACCACTGAGCTACAATCCCAACCCCTGGTCAAGCATTTTTAAAAGATAATGCCCACTCCCTTGAAAAAGAAGTAAGTTACACTCACTTCGTATTCGTAAAACTGTAGTGCTTTGTACATTTAAAAAAAAAAAATCAAATTAGTCCTTTAAGCTTTCAAAGTGAAGATTCATGACCAACGAACTAAAACCTTATTTAGGATTTTAACAGGAAGAAAGAGAAGAAAGAGAAGAAGAAGAAGAAGAAGAGGAGGAGGAGGAGGAGGAGGAGGAGGAGGAGGAGGAGGAGGAGGAGGGAGGAGGAAGAAAGAAGAAAGAAGAAGAAGAAGACAACGACGATGACGACTAATTTAGGAGGTTCAGGAAAAATGTAAGTTGACAGATACCAAGGGTCTTCATTAAAATCTCATTATAGGTTTCTGTGAACTGCAGTTTACATTTCTTTCTTTCTTTCTTTCTTTTTTAAAGAGAGAGAGAGAATTTTTTAATATATATATATATTTTTTTTTAGTTTTCAGCGGACACAACATCTTTGTATGTGGTGCTGAGGATCGAACCCGGGTGGCACGCATGCCAGGCGAGCGCGACCGCTTGAGCCACATCCCCAGCCCTGCAGTTTACATTTCTAAAATAAAAATTACCACAAGTATTCTAATTTATTTTAGTGGTTCTATTCTCCTTTTAGCTTTAAATGTCATTATGGCATCTCTGGATATAAAACCTTGGAGATGCCATAATGACATTTAACTCCATTGTTTTTTTATAGTTAATCAATTATTGTGTTTTAATACTTCTTCCTGGGGCTGGGGTTGTGGCTCAGCGGTAGAGCACTCGCCTTGCACGTGCAAGTCCCTGGGTTCGATCCTCAGCACCACATAAAATAAATAAATAAATTAAATAAAGTTATTAAAAAATACTTCTTCCTTTAAAATGTTTATATTTCAAATAAAAAGATACATTATCACTTGTACTCATGCTCTGGAAATTCATCATTCATACTTATCTATAAGCACATGCAAGCAGAGGCTGACCATACAAACAATCAAAATGGGGTTCCTCAACCTCAGCACCAACATTTGGAGTAACCATTTCTCATGGAGGGGCTGTCCTATTATAAGATGTTTATCAATCTTGCCAGATTGCCAATAGCATTCTCTCCCCCACACTGTGACAGTGCCAAATGTCCCCTGAAGGGGAAAAATGCACCAGCTGAGAACCACTGACAAAGTTTTAAAACTTTCAAAATCACACCTTGCTCTTTGCTTACATACATATATTTCAAATGTGTGTCTTGTACAACACTCCTTAGTCTTGCCTCACACAATCTTACTCAACAATAACTTTCCAAATAGACCATACTTACTGTTCCCAAGGAAAAAAAAAAATTTTCATTCCCAATTCCAAATCTCTGAATACTTTGCTTCCTAAAAATCCCCCATCTACCTTTCTCTTCAATGCCCTACATAAATCCTTCAATTGTTGGCTATTTGCTGAGCTTTACTCAGTTCAGTTCAGCATATAGCCAATGTACTAATGAATAGTATCATGTTCTTTTTTTGTTGTTGTTTCTGTTAATCTCATCTCCCAAACTAGACTAACCTCCCTCAAGTTTGTTGCCTGGAATATTTCTTTTATACAATTAATTGGGTCTAACACTGTGCTGGGCACAGAAGCAATCAAAAGTTTAGTAACTAAAAATACAATTTAAAAAGTTCTGCTGTAAATAAGTATAAACTACTAATTTTTTTTTTTCAAGTACTGGAAGTTGAACCCAGATGGTCTCTCCTATTGAGCCACACCCCTCAAGTCTGTCTATTATATTTTGAGACAGGGTCTTGATAAATTATTGAGGCTGGCCTCAAATTTGCAGTTATCTTGCACAGTCTCCCAAGCTGCTGGGATTGCAGGTGTGTACTGCCACGCCCAGCAAACTGTTGATTTCCTATGAAGTGATTGTTCTTTTTTTATTTTCCCCTCCATGGGGTTGAGAATTAAATCCAGTCTTGGGCATGCTAAGCAAGCACTCTGCTACTGAGCTACACCTCAGGCCCACTAAATTGCCCAGGCTGGCCTCAAACTTGTAATCCTCCTGCCTCAGCCTCTGAAGTATCTGGGATTAGAGGTTTGCACCCTGGGGTCCAGCAGGAATATACAGGCTTCTGACTGTTCTCTACACTTGAGAAATGATACAAAGATATTAAAACTATAAGCAACAATACACACATGAATATTGATCAAATCATTTAAGTTAAATTGATTTAATCAATGTTTTGTTTGCACACAAAACATGTACGGTCAACACCAGCAAAGAACTCAACTAAATATTATATGAATTAATTTATGTGTACACAAAGGCACACTCTCACAAATGTCTCCAAAGTTGACATAAATGAAGAGTCACATATAAAGGAGGCAGCATAGCAGCACAGTTAAAAGCCTGGATCCAGTCTGCTTGGGTTCCAGCTGCATTCTCTGTGTAACCCTGTACATGTTACTTGACTTCTGGATGCCTCAGTTTCCTCATTGTCAAAATGGGGATAATATCACTAACAGACCAAAAGCAAAGTTCTTAAAACAATGCTTAACACATAGAAAATGCAAAATATATATTACTTATTATTTCGCTGCCAATTATTAGCCAAGTAAAAGCCTCAATGTATAAAGTGCTGATTCAGTCTGAAGTAGGTTTAACACATACACACGCGCTCACACACACATATCCCAGGATGCTTATTTTATACATAAGTTTAAGCTATTAGGTAAACTAATTTCTCAGATTTTCACAAGTGCTAAACTGGTGATTAACACAGAATTAATTTATCTCCCATTTTTTCCGAAACTGCACACACACACACACAAAAAGGCATAGATACCCTATTTCCAATGAACTTTATGAAAGAAAACGGATCAACTCTTCATTATCTTCATAGGTAAACTCATTTAATAGGTAAAGTCTAGGTACTGTTACAGAACTATTTTTCAGAAAACACAATGGAGGTTTTTAAAGTTGCAATTAGCAATTCTTATGCAGTTATGTTCCATGGAACAAAAGCTCATCTGTCTGGGAACCAAAGACACATCAGAAAATAAGGAAATGCCTTGGCCAGGCCTAGGCGGCTCTAGGAAAACCTGTCCACAAACAGCTCTCCTCACACGCGTGTCCGGTCCTCCCCGCTCCCCGGGGTATAGATGTCGACTCCACCCGAAGATAAATAAGTGACAGCAGGTTCCGTCCAAGGCTCTCCCCGACCAGACCCCTCGGGCCTAGCCCGGAGCGTCTCAGCGCCGGCGGCCCCGAGCCTCCTCCACCTCCAGCAGGCCCACAGTGCTCCACAGCGAGTCAGCGGCCGCACCCCGGCCCGCGCCCCGCCCCGCGACCCTGCAGCCCATCGGGCCCGGCCGAGCGAGGCCGCCGCGGGGCCTGCAGGTGGGCCCGGGCAGCTCCAGGCCAGCTGGAGAGGCGCTGCCCACTCAGGCAGCGGCGGGCGGGGTCCCTCACGGGCTTGGCCGTCACTTACCGGCGCCTCATGGTACCGCAGCGCCTCACCCCAGAGCCGGCGCTGGCAAACTGCCGCAGGACAGCCTAAAGCGTCCCTCTACTGCAGGGCCGGGCCCCACTCAGAGCCATTCAAACGCCGCCGCGCGCGCAGCCCGCCGGGATAGCGCCCCCAGTGGGCGTCTGGAGGGCTCCGCCCAACGCTAGCTCCGCCCATCTCCGTCTCGGCCTCTCTCCCATCGCGGAGGAAGAGGGAGGGGGAGGGCGTGTGTTCGCGATGCCCTCTGGTGGCCACAGGTATGCACCGAAGCCTTGCTGTGGCTTGACAAGTAATACTGCGATGGGGACTGAGGGTGTCAACAAATGATCCTGCTGGCTAGGGACAGTCCAGTGGGAGAGGACTTGACTCACAGTCTGCTAAAGAAAGAGTAAATAATCTGCTGTAAAAATATGGTGCAGGGATGAGGCTGCGGTTGTGGCTCAGTGGTAGAGCGCTTGCCTAGCATGCGTGAGGCACTGGGTTTGATTCTCAGTGCTACATATAAATATAATAAAGGCCCATCAACAACTAAAAAAAAATTAAAAATATGGTACAAGGAGATATATAGTCATTCACTCCTATTTAAATGCACTGGGGAGGTATTTAAAAGCACTGGACTCTGAGCCAGGCGTAGAGGAGCACACCCACAATCCCAGTGACTGGGGAAGTTGAAACAGAGGGTCGCAAATTCGAGGCCACCCTCAGCAAATTAGTGAGATATAGTTTAAAAATATTTTTTTTTTTTAAAGGGTTGGGGATGTAGTTCAGTAATAAAGCGCCCCCTAGGTTCAGTTCCCAGTGCCACAGAATGAAATGCATGGATGGATGAATGAATTGCCCAGGCTCTGGAACTATGTGCTCTTTGGCAAGTCACAAAATGGAAGTGATAACGTATCTGCCTCTTAGTGTGGTTGTAGGTGTTAAATGAATTACCATATATAAAATGCTTATAGAAGTATTTGGCACACAGTAAGCACTACATAACTGTTAACAATCACGCTTTAGTTCCCAGACTCTGCTAGTCTTCTTTATTTTATTTTTGTGGCATAGGGGATTGTACCCAGGGCCTTGTTCATGCAAGGCAAGCACTCTAAGAAATGAACTATATCCCTGGCTCTTTTCTAGACTCTTGAGAATACAAAAAATGCATGTGATGCAGAATCTATCCTCAGAAAGCAGGTTCAGTCTCTGGGCTGGGAACACTAGAATATGAGATTAGGATTGGTTCTGTCCCTGATACATTCTTAATTAATGAGGGTAATTCTCTTCATCTTACAGAAGCCAGAGTTTACCCAGCTTCATAGTAAGCCCATGGTCAAGGTTAATCAAAGTGTGACAAAAACAAGTCTGCCAAGTAGTCCTCTCCCTGCCAACAGAACCCAATCAAGCAGGACATTTGAAGGAACTCTTCCTTACTACCTGATTGTGTACATCCTTTGGCTTACGCTTTTTTTTTTTTTTGGTGGGGGTGTTTGAGGGGGTAACCAGGATTGAACTCAGGGACACTTGACCACTGAGCCATATGCCCAACCCTTTTTTGTATTTCACTTAGAGGGTGTCACTGAGTTGCTTAGTGCCTTGCTTTTGCTGGGGCTGGCTTTGAACTCTTGATCCTCCTGCCTCAGCCTCCTGAGCCATTGGGATTACAGGCGTGCGCCACTGCACCTGGCTTTTGGCTCACTTTTTTTAGGCAGTCTTTAGAATTCTCCAGGACTTGCCTAAGGAAAAAGTGGGGAGTTTGGTTCAACAATATTTTGAGGGCCCTCTATGTGCCAGACATATCTCCAGGTGCTGGAGATAGTCAGAAGCAGATCACAATGGCTTAGAGAAATAGGGAGAGAGATCATTCCAATACACTACAGTGAATGCAATCATAAAAGGTATATATCCTGAATGCTGTGAGAGTTGAGAGCAATGGATGGAGGTAGCCTGTCAGATAAAATATTCAGAGTTAAGATATCATTAGGTGATTATAACAGTGTATTTTTCTTCCCTAGTAACAGGGTCCTTATTTAATCCAAAAAATAGTAATAATGAAAATTTAATGCAGCACTTTAGGGCAGTGGGAACATATTTTTAGAATATTTGCATGAGCAATAGCTTTGAGAACATCTCAGATTGCACCAAGCACAGGCAGGTACATGCCTGTGTGTAGGGCCACACCTACTAACAGTTTCAGCTGGGTGAGTGAGTGGAGGGAGCTAGAGCCCTGAGTTATGAGGGCGTATTACAAAGAATATTTCCTGAGTGTGACTTCTACTAAGTAGGTGTGTTATTTTAAATAAAATTAAACACATGAAGTCACTTTCTATCAAGCTCTTTCTTCATCATCATAAACAGGAATTTCTTGATGGCCTATTATGCAAAAAACATCATTGCTGGACCTTTACCATAAGAGAATGAAAAGAGTGCAAGACATGATTTTTAACTCAAGGATGTGGTAAGACAAGTAACGGAGTCCTATGACTCTAGAGAAACTGCTGTGTTAATACAGAAAAAAGCTCAGCTAAAACAAGGCTTCTGGTTGTCTAAAGGCTAGAAAAGAACCTCAATATTCTCATTTCTAAACTTGTTAGAACAGAGTCTCAAGCAGATTCTTTTCCAGACCCAGGTTCTAATGTTTGCTTCATAAGCCACCAGCTCCCAGATCTCATAATTTAGCATAAATCTGCCTTTGTATTGCTACTTTTGAAATATACACAAACATTGCCATTTTAGTGATGAAAACATATTAATACTTTTCCTATCAATAAAGCTGAAATATTTTCCCTTAGGGTTCAATGAAGTTTAAGTTTTTATTTAAAAATCAGTAAGTGCAGCCCATACATATTTTTTTAAAAAATTTTCTGTATGAGTGCTTGTATTCAAAAAGTTCGTTCATCACAGCCCTTCCAAAGGAGTCTTCTCATTCCTTCTGAGTGAATAGGCTAGTAAGTTAGCATTCCTGCCTCTCATCCCGCTCTCTAAGGGGGTGCAGAATTATTCAGGCACTATGTATAGGTATCCAAGACCCATAAACACGCACCAAGAAAAGAACTCTAATGCAAAGTCCTATGTAGTGATCAGAAAAGGGACAGTAAAGGAGGATTTGAGATGGGCCTGACAAGCTGGACAGGATTTTGATAGGGGAAGTATAAAATAAGTTCCAGGACCACTGTGGTGTGCAAAGAGCCTTAGAGACTACCAGGTGCAAAGAATGAAAATGTATGTAGGCATCTGGCAAGTGGTATGAAGACCTGGAATTATTAAGGAACAATATTTGGAGGCAACGAGGACACAACAGGGACCATTAGCAGAGAAGTGACAAAGTCAGTACTTTAAAAAATTGATCTGTCATCAGGAAGGATTCAGGAAAACTAGGGTAAGGGAGGGAAGGAAGATTGATGGCAAGAACCTTAGGTATGAAAGTTCAGACTGGAGGTTCAGGGAACCATAGTATGTGCTGCATTTATGTCACTCTCATACCCTCAGACCCATGCTGGGCCTGATAGATGACGATGCTAGAAAAGGTCTAACTCACAGCAATAGTTCATCTGTTCCATAAGTAACAACATCTACTGCTCACCAGCAGTACCTTCAGAAAATTCCAGACAACTGACTTTGGCAAAATCAATCCCCACCTTCCTGTGCAGACTGTGGAAGAAAGTAATGGCACTTTCAGATAAAGAAGTAGCAGTGGATATGAGCACATCTCACTCCTGGTTTACAGGATCTGCAATTGTTTTTAAACACAACCATAATACTATGCCCTGCTTGGGGGAAGCAGTAGTTTTGTTTGGGATTTTTTGGGGGGTCAGGGTGGAGAATGATAGTGGAAATGGGGTGTTTAGTGTTTGAGGATTCTATCAGAAAGAGTTGTTTCTGATAAATCTACAGCTGTTATAACTCTACACCTGGGAAGGTGAGCCAAAAATACTTGGTTAACCCTTGGAAGTACAAATAAGTACATGTTAGAGGGCCCATTTGAGCCTATCAACATTTTAAACTCTATAATTTCTGTGGTAAGCAATTCTAATTGTATTACTGTCATACAAAACTTTGTTGACAAGTACTCAAGGATGTTCATAATGATGTATTTTTTTAACAGTGAAAAATAGGAACAACCTAAGTGCCCATAAATTGGGGACTGGTTAAATTATCATATACTATACTATGTATCACTGCAGAAAAAGAATGAGTTAGATCTGCATGAGGTGGTGTGGTGCACGCCTGTACTCCCAGTAGCTCAAGAGGCTGAGGTAGGAGGATTGAGAGTTCAAAGCCAGACTCAGCAAAAGCAGGGCAGTAAGCAATTCAGTGACACCCTGTCTTTAGATAAAATACAAAATAGGGGGGATGTGGCTCAGTGCCCGAGCACCCGTGAGTTTAATCCCTGGTACCCCCCCACAAAAAAAGTCTCATGACAGACACAGAAGATATCCAAGAGAGAGTAAGTTAGTGTATTCCTGTCTATGCAATGAGAAGATTAAACACCCTACTTTCCTGTACATGTGTAAAGGGGTGACTTTGTCTTTTAAGTACTAAAAAGTACCTATTGTTCTCCTTCAACTCTTTTGAATCACACTTCATCTTTGTATTAATCTGCTTGAGCTGCCATAGCAAAATACTGAGTGGCTTAAACAACCAAACCTTATTTTCTCACAGTTCTGGAGGCTGGGAGGTTTGAAACCTAGTTTGGGCTTCCCTAGTTAGGGCTCTCTTCATATCTTGCAGATGTTTGCTTTCTCACTTGTGCTCACATATGGGGTTTCCGTGAGGTGGGTGGGGCAGAAAGTTCTTTGATGCCTCTTATAAGGGCACTAATGCTATCATGAGGACTCTAGATTTCACCCAAACCTATTTACTTCCCAGAGGTCCCATCTCTCTAAACACCATCACACCAGGGACTAAGTTTTCAACATAAGAGCTCTGGGGGTACACAAACATTGAGTCCATAAGAATCCTTCAAAGTCTAAGGTTATTAAGCAATGCTTTATATGTGAACTGATACCCAGGGAATTTTTTTCCCAAAGGATCTGGATTGCTCAGATGCTTGATTTAGAGACGGTTTAGTCCACTTTCAAGATAGCTGATATTAATCACTAGAAGGAATGGATGAATCCAGAGTAACCATACTTGGAAAGACCTGTTAGGCCACAGGTACTACATCACTATGACTCATGCTATGGTTGTCATTCTTATCCTTTAATGGGATCTGTGGGAATGGCAATCTTCCCAGCTTCGTAAGCCAGTGCCAGAGGGAAGCTTACTACAATGGGAACCTGTTAAAATGTGAATTGCACAACAGCCCTTCTGAAATAAAGAGAAGGCAGTTGCTAAAAAAGAATGGAATTACTAAATTAACAACTTCTCCAAGCACCACACTACTAGTGCACATCTTTACTGATAGGAGCATTTTATGACACTGCAGATCAATAAACCAAAATTTGAAGAAAAAAGCTATGGAATCATGCTTTATCTTTTACTTTCTTTAATTAACATAATTAATTAATATGCATAGAAATTACATGGCAACCCAATAGTAACTAACAAGGTAGAACCGAACAATTTTTTTTCACTAAATGGGTTTGAAAATACAAAAAGAATAAATGGGAGGGGAATTTCTTCTTGTTAAAGCCCCGCTACTGACACAAAATAAACTTTTCAGAAGGCAATAATGATAGCAGAGTTAAAATATCTAGAATTTGCAATGGAAACCCATTTTAACTGGAAAAGTTTAGGAGATTCCAGAGCCAAATTCATTGGGCCAGGAAGAAGAGCAAAATACAATTTTTATAGAGATAATGTCAAACTGTATAGATCAAGAAAGCCTTTTCTCCCCATAACCAAAAGGGATCTGTTCTTGCAAATCAGATACTTTGAATAAATAAAATTCATTATTCAGGTTTCAGCTCAAATGCTATTTGTCAGAGGAACATGGCATTAAATAGCTTCTTTGATTCCTAGGAAGGAGTATGAGATAAAAAAATAAACACAAAAAATGTGTAAATGGCACAAATAACAAAAGTCAAATGAGGAAATTCATGGGAGCTACATATTTGCTCAAAGGCATAAAATAAATTTAATATTTATTTTAGTTTCATATTCCCATTATCTTCCAATTCATGTTTAATCCAGTTAGGCACATAATGAGGCTCTCAAAAACTGACCATTTGCATGAATTACTCTTTGTAACTATTTGCACCCTGTTATTTTAGAGCAATAAAATGCTTTAGGTGAGCAATTTTAGATCCTTGCTACATAGCAATATCACCTGGAGAGCTTTAAAAAATACTGATGCCCAGCCAGGCATGGTGGTGCATGCTTGTAATCCCAGCCAATTGGGAGGCTGAGACAGAAGGATCAAAAGTTTAAGGCCAGTCTCAGCAATTTAGCAAGACCCTGTCTCAAGATAAAAAACAGTATGATTGGGAATGTAGCTCAATGGTAAACCTCCCCTGAGAAAAAAACAAAACATCTGCTGCCCAGGACCTGCTCTAAGCAAAACAATCAGAATCTCCAAGTATGGCCTAGGTATCAATATTTCTAAAAGCTCTTAAGTTGATTCTCAATAGAGAACCACTATACTTCTGGGTTTAGATTTTTATATAATATAGTTATTTTTATAATATTATAACACCTATCTTTCTATATCCAATAGTGGTACCTGAATAATGTAGAGAACTAGGAAAAGTACTGGAAAGAGCAATTTAAAAAGATGATCTGAAATCCCACTACTTCACTGTGTCTATCATTTGAATCTTTTCTAAGGGAACATATGTATGGAAAGGAAGTAGACAAAACATGTTAGCTTTTAAAAGCAAGAACGGTATATTCTAGAACTAGAATACACCTTTAGACACCATCTATTATAAATCCCTTGTTTTATAAATGAAGAAATTATGAAAAATCATACTAATTTCCTTTTCTTTCCAAAGAACACTGTGCAAAAATTGAATTCTCAAATTTCAACCTGAACTCCATTTTCACAAGAGATTGTTTCTAATGACTTTCTGATAATCTTTTTAAAAGAACAAGCAGCGCTTTATAGGGAGGACATTCATCTTTTTCTTGAAGAATCTGATCATGCATAGAGGAACTGTCTCTATTGTGTCCTGGGGAAGAGTCCATTAAATGAAAACCATTACCCCAATACAATATTAACATTTTTGATGTATATCCTCATTTTTATAGTTTTACTTTACATGTGTAATTATAGCACACTCATATATTGTTATCATATTTATTTTCAATTTAATTACTCACAGTCACTAAACACTTATTCAGTATAGCAGCTCCCCACTACTCAATCCACAGCTTTGCTTTTCATAGATTCATTATCCGTACTCAAACTATGGTTACCCTACTTTCAACCATGTTTGGAAAATATTAAATGAAAAATTCTATTTTTTTCTTCTTCTTTTGTGGTGCTAGAAATCAAATCCAGAGCCTCAAGCATGCTAGGCAAGTGCTCTACCACTGAGCTATATCCCCAACGCTGGAAAAGTCCAGAATGTATGCTGTTCTGGTTAGCATAATAAAATCTTGTGGTGTCCTACTCTATCTTACCATGGATTTGAATCATCCTTTCCTAATGTATTCCTGCTGATTATGCCAACTGCCATTGGTCACTTAGTAGCCTTCTTGGTTATCAGATTTGACTGTTTCCTATCAAAGGGCTTGTGTTCAAGTATCCTTTATTTTATTTAATGGGCCAAAGTACAAGAATCGTGATACTGGCAGTTTAGGTATGCCAAAGAGAAGCCATAAAGTGCTTTCTTTAAGTGAAAAGATAAAACTTTCAGCTTAATAAGAAAAAAAAGTATGCTGAGATTGCAAAGACTTACTATACTGAGAAATTGTGAAGAAGGAAAAAAGGGAATTTGTTAGTTTTGCTGCCACACATTAACTACAAAAGTGTGTAATAAGTGCTTAGTCATTTACCTCACTTAATCTTATCAGGTAGGCATCTTACATCATCACAAAAAGGGTGAGTATGGTCTAAAAAGCTACTTTGAGAGAGGAAGAGACCACATCCACATTTTATTACAGTGTAGTGCTATATTTTTATTTTCATTATTGGATACTATTGTTAATCTCTTAATATTTAAAGTGCCTAATTTACAAATTAAGAATGTGTACTAGGTATGTATATATAGAAAGAAACAGTATATATAGAATTCAGTACTACCCGCATTTTCAGGTTATCTACTGGTGGCCTTGGAATGTGTCCTCCACAGATGGGGGTGGGAGGGACTACTGTACTTTGTAAGTTGCAGGCAATAGGCTGTGGAACCAAAGATAATTAACATACAGCTACTGTGTCCTCAGGTAATTTAGCGTAGGGCATGGGGGTTAGAGGTAAGTGTTCAGGGTGTGACAACACACAACAATGCCAAGTGGTTAAGTGCTATTAGGCAATATATACTGGGACAGAGGAATGTCCAGTAGGGCCAAGGCCCTAGTGAAGCTTAAGATGAATCTTAAAGGTTCATCAGAGACAACGTGGTAAAGCAGAAAAGAAGGGAATCAGGGAAGGCAATCTACATGCTGGGTCTTCCTATGATCAGATGGATACACATTTTAGAATGGATTGAAGGGGGAAAGACTTTTTCTATTTCTGCCTTAAACAGTCTGCTATTAAACTTCCAATTTGTAAAACTGGAAAACAAAGTGGAGGTGAAAATCTTCAGTGTTTTATATTACCATCATCTTCAAGCATCTAAATTCTTTAGTTGGCCAAGGAGGCTCTTTTCAGTCTTACCCCCAACCACACTCTCACTGTACCCCCTTCTGTCAAATTCCAGTTGTCAAGTAATTTACGAAGAAATACAAATTTTAAAAAATACAGTACCATTTTTGAACTGCTAATTAAAAAACTTATAAAGACGGTAGAATGTCAATGATGTAGATTTTACTAATGGGCATTTTAAATGAAAATGAAAATTCTTTTAAAATGTGAAAGCTCTTTGATGTAGCAAACCACAGTCCCTGGGGTATAACCTAAGGAACTAAGACAAGATGTACTACAAGGATGCTCAGTACCATTGGTTCAGAAAAGTGGTAGGGAGATAGGGAAAAAACCTAAATGTTCGTCTGGCGCAGTGGGGCATGCCTGTAATCCCAGCGGTTTAGGAGGCTGAGAGAGGAGAATAGAGAGTTCAAAGCCAGCCTCAGCAATGGTGAGGTGCTAATAAGCAATTCAGTGAGACCCTGTCTCTAAATAAAATACAACAACAACAAAAAAATTATGACATGGGTACACAACTGAATACAGAATCCATTAACCAGGAATAATGATGTAGATTATGTAATGATACTTGAAAAACAAATTAGGCATCTGAAGCAGGTACAATTTAATCTGACAACAAACCTTGAAAATAGGAAGAATTAATTTTTACATACGAGGAAGTTGAAATAATGGACTTAACTTGCCAAAGGTGACAAAATTAGTTAAGTGGTGAAGTCAGGATTCAAACGGAGGTCATGGGAATCCTGGTACGGTGGCCTACGCCTGTAATTCCAGCTACTCGGGAAGCTGAGGCAAGAGGACCACAAGTTTGAGACCAGCCTGGGTAACTTAAGAGAGATCTGTCCTTAAAAAAAAAAAAAAAGGCGGGGGGTGGGGGGCTGGCCACGTGAATCCCAAGCCCCTATACCTTTCCATTGCCACTTTGCTTTTGTGCAGAATGGAGGCAGATCTACTTAGCAAGGTTACTTACACCATGGACAAGCAGTATTTGGAATCTACTAAATAACTCGCTCAAGGTCACACAATTAGTGGTGGAGCCAGGATTTGAATACTGTGTTACCAGGAGCACGTAGGAATGGAGGTCAAGAGCTTTCCATGACTTCAATTACTAACACAGGAGGTATGAACTTTGCTTGTGCACTGTAACCTCGGAGATCAGAGAACACATAACAAGTCTACCGGAGAAGCTTTCGGAAGCTGTATAAGACTCTCTCCTCTGATTTTCTACATCCAAGCTCCTAGTCGTCAGTCTTACCCGGTAGCCAATTTCTGGGGCGGAAGTGACGTCTATATCCACACGCCGGAAGTGAGCTTGCCGAGGGAGACGCCGAGGTTAGAAGCCGGTGGGCTGCGCCGCTAGTGGGTCCTGAGTTAGGAGTCAGCTTCTGTTTGAGGCTTCGCAACCTTAGGAAGCGGCCGTTGCCATGACGGCCCAAGGAAGCTTGGTGGCCAACCGAGGCCGGCGGTTCAAATGGGCCATTGAACTGAGCGGGCCTGGAGGAGGCAGCAGGTGAGCGCCTGGATCAAGCTCGACTTTAGAGTCATCACCAGCTTTAGAACTTTAGAACTTCCCCAGCCTCATCCTGAGGCGCATTCTCTGAAAAGGCTGGGTGGCAGACAGACGTCACCTGGGGAGGTAGCAGCTTCTCTATCGTGCAGGTTACCTTTCCCTAAGGATATTTATTTTAGTCTTCCCAATTGGCAAAGGGACTGACGAGCCCATCTGAGCACTTGGCCTAATCTGGGTAGTGCATCTGAGGCTCTTTATTATTATGATTGGTAGAACAAGAACTGAAGGATATAAAGTTTGGGAAGTTGCAGCTTTAGTCTCTTGGTTTGGTTCTTCAGGGGCCGAAGTGACCGCGGCAGTAGCCAGGGAGACTCACTATACCCAGTCGGTTACTTGGACAAGCAAGTGCCTGATACCAGCGTGCAGGAGACAGACCGGATCCTGGTGGAGAAGGTACAGAGGTATAGATGTTACCCTAGTCCTGGAGCCAGTCAGGACCTACCCGCCTCTCCCAAGTAGCATTACTGTAGAACCCATTTATAATGAATGGGAGCTACACCGCATGCAGTAAGTATTACAGTAGTTTACATAACAGCTCCAATAGTGCTTAACAGTTGGAAAAGTAAAAGACATTCATTAAGGCAAGGTATTAGGAAATAGTTGCAAAATGATCTGCTGGTGGCAAGGCTTTCCAGCTTAAGTCGTCCTTTCTTATGCTAGTTCCCTGACACCACGCATCCATACTGTCAAGATATTACCTTCAAAACAGATCCCAAATCCTATTACTATTTTTTTAAGGAATTGAATCCAGGGGCGCTTAACCAGTGAGCCACATCTCCAGCACCCCCCCCCTTTTGTTTTTTATTCTAATTTGTTATCATGTCTTCATACATGTACTTAGGTTAACGATGTCCATCTCATTCCACCATCTTTTTTACCCTCTTGCCCCTCCCTTCCCTTTGCCCTATCTAGAGTTCCTCTAATCTTCCCTGCTCCCCTTCCCAATCCCACTATGAATCAGCCTCCTTATATTAGAGAACATTCAGCATTTGGTTTTTAGGGATTGGCTAACTTCACTTAGCATTATATTCTCCAACTCCATCCATTTACCATTTTATTCTCTCTTATTGCTATTTTATTTTTCCTATTTCTCCATATCCAATGCCATGATTTTATTCTCTTTTATTACTGAGTAATATTCCATTGTGTATATATACCACATTTTCTTCATCCATTCATCTACTGAAGGGCATATAGGTTGGTTCCACAGTTTAGCTATTGTGAATTGTATATTGTGAATAAACATTATGTGGCTGTATCCCTGTATGTTGTTTTTTTAAAAAAATTTTTTTTTTTTTGAGAAACGGCCAACTTAAGTTGCTGAGGCTGGCCTTGAATTTACCATCCTCCTGACTTAACCTTTCTAGTTACTATGATTAACAGGCTTTCACCACCAAGACAGGCCTACTACTTCTTGTCTTTATCATCCTGGTCCTAGCCACTATCTCTCATTTAGATTTTTTTTTTTATGTGGTGCTGAGGATCAAACCCAGTGCCTCACACATGCTAGGCAAGCACTGTACCACTGAGTCACAACCCCAGCCCTCTCATCCAGATTTTTGCAAGAGACTAAAAAAAATCAAAGATATATGATAAAATATATATGTACATATAAATTCTTCCAAATTGTAGTTTATGTACAGTAAACTGCATTCAACTAAAGCATGGTTTATCAACCTCAGCATTGTTGACAAGTGGTGGTTAATACTTCTTGTTGTGGGGGAACTGTACTGTGCACTGTAAGATGTTCAGTATCCCTGCTCTACCTATTAGATGGCAGTAGTGCCCTTCCCTAGTTGTAACAATTACACATTTCCAGCATTCTAAATGTCTCCCAGGAGACAAATTGCCCTCAGCTGGGAACCTCTAAAGGGTAATATTTGATGAGCTTTAATAGTGGTGTACCACCATGAAATCACCATCTTAAAAGAGAACATATTTTTCATCTCCAAAAAAATGTCTTGTATTCCTTTTTGCAGTAGAATTCTAACTGGTCTTGTTACTTATACCTAGCCCTCTGTAGTTTATTCTCATCACAACAGTCAACATCATTTTAAAATATAAGTCAGATCATTCCTATTCTGAATCCTCCTATAGGTCCCCATTTTTTCAACATAAAAGCCCAGTCTTTATAATGTTCTATATAACTCTGCATTGGTCAAACCCCTGGAACATCTCTGACCTCATCTTCTACCCTTTATTGATTATTGATTTCACTTTAGTCATAATGGCTTCCCTGCTGCTCTCTAAAGACAGCAAGACAAGTGCCCATGTCAGGTTTTTTGTATTTGCTCTTCCCTATTTTTTGGATGCTCTTCTTCCAGATCTTCTTGCCTATCACCTTTACATCTCTCAAATGTTTTGGTCTTAATGAAGCCTACCCTTATGGTACTCCCTATCTTGTTTTCCTATTTCTCCATATCATTAACATATGCTATGAATATATCATATAATAGTTATTTTTTTTTTTTTATTGCCCATTGGCCTTATCACTCTTGTAAGCTCCATGAGAACAGGATTTTGTTGGATATATCCTAAGTGCCTAGAGTAGTACATAGCACTTTCTTTCCTTTTCTTACTTCTTTCTTGGCCTTAATGTTGCTCTGCATTACACAGTCTTTGTTCATGCATTCATGAAATGCATGTGATCTTCACAACATGAAAATGACAGAGCTATTATCAATCTTTTCTCAATATGCATTATTTATTTATTTATTTTTGCACAGTATTGGGGATCAAACTCAGAGCCTTGTGCATGCTAAGCAAACACTACCACCAAGTCACATCCCTAGCCCATTATCCTGTAATTTTTCATCTTGGTACATTAAAGTGTATGAATACATGATAGGAATTTTTTTTTTCTTTCTCTAACTTTAGCCAAGGGCAGCCGTGCATGCATGTAATCCCAGCAACTTGGGAGGTTGGGGCAGGAGCTTCAGTTTTGAGGCTAGCAATTTAATGAGACCCTTTCTCAAAATAATAAAAAGGTCTGGGGATGGCGATCAGTGGTAAAGTGCCCCTGGGTTCAGTCCCCCAGTACCAAAAAAAAGTCTGTTTTTTTCCTAAGTTTCTTTGTTGTTCTTTCTTGGTACCAGGGATTGAACCTGCTTAATCACTGAGCCACATCCCTAGCCTCCCCTCCCCTTTTTTAAATTTTGAGACAGGGTGTCAGTAGGTTGCTTAGAGCCTAAGTTGCTGAGGCTGGCTTTGAAACTGTGATCATCTTGATTCAGCCTCCCAAGTCACTGGGATTATAGGCGTATGCTACCATGCCCAGCTAGCTAGTTTGTTCTTTTTCTAGCTTTTTTTTTTTGTACTGGGGATTGAACCCAGGGTGCTTTTCCACTGAGGTACATTCCCAGCCCTTTTTGAGACAGAGCCTCACTAAGTCTTCTGATATGTACTTAAGATTATAAATATATTACAGCTCTAACTGTATACAAGTTTTAATGCAGCATTTTTGTTTCCAATTAACATTTCTATTTTCCATTTTGATAGCATTCATGGATTAGTATACATTTGTTAATTTCTAAATATAAGGAATTTTCTAGTTACCTTTTGATTTCTAGCTTAGTTGCATTATAGTCAAAGAACACTGTATATTTTGAGTTCTGTGACATTGAGATTTTCATACATGGCTCAGCAAGTGGCCAGTTTTTCTAACTATCTGATGTTTGAAAAGAATATGAATTCCGTAATTGTTGGGTACAGTGTTATATGTGAAAGTTCGTTTATGTCATTCAAATCGTCTGTGTCTTGACTTGCCTGTTATCTTTTCAAAACAATTTTTTCATAATACCTTTGTTTTATTTATTTTTATGTGGTGCTGAGGATCAAACCCAATGTCTCACACAGGCTAGGCAAGTGTTCTACCACTGAGCTATAACCCCAGCCCCTGCCTGTTCTGTTGTTAAGGTGTGCTAATCTCCCAGCATGTGGAGTTTTCTATTTCTTTAGTTGTAAAAGGGACAGTGATATATGCAGAAGTTCAAGGACAAAAGCAGGAAAATCTTTTCTTTAGCCAAAATCACAAGAAAAAGATGACTGGAAATCTTATGGGGAAAACTAACAGATGGTGAGGCTATCTTGTACCTTTAATGGAAAGGAGCTTCCTGTGGCAACATGGAGAAAGGAAGAGGTGGTGGAATTGAGTCAGCTTAGAAGCAGGGAATTGGGAATTCTGTTCATTTGACTTTAGCATCACTGATGCAGTAAATGTGGGATTGAGGGTATTGATGAAAGGTTATAACTGTGCTTGTTTTAGCGCTGCTGGGACATCGCCTTGGGTCCCCTCAAGCAGATTCCTATGAACCTCTTCATCATGTACATGGCAGGAAATACTATATCCATCTTCCCTACTATGATGGTGTGTATGATGGCCTGGCGACCCATTCAAGCACTTATGGCCATTTCAGCCAGTAAGTATTTTTGAAATAATAAACCCTTCCCTATGTTTTAAGAATTTAAAGTCTTAGGCATAATTTTTTTTTTTACCAAAAGGTATGCAGGCTGGTGATGATAGTCGTGGTGAAATGGAGGGGAAAACAATGCTGCTCACAATATTCTGTTCACCTTTAGTGATCCTATTTGCTGTCTTATTTTGGGCTTATCTAAATATTAATATATATGATTGATTTGATTCATATTGAAAAAGGAAGGTTGTTTTGGTTTTGACAACTTCTGTTACCCCCAACAGCTTTCAAGATGCTAGAGAGTTCAAGCCAGAAGTTTCTTCAGGGTTTGGTCTATCTCATTGGGAACCTAATGGGTTTGGCATTGGCTGTTTACAAGTGTCAGTCTATGGGACTACTGCCTACACATGCATCAGACTGGTTAGCCTTCATTGAGCCCCCTGAGGTAAGGTAAAAGAAAAGTCAAATTTGAGGCATTTGTACAGTGAATAGCTGACTCATATGATGGTAGAGAATTAAGAGTTGGTATTAGAATTTATTTCTTAAGAAAAGCTATTAGGTGTTTGGAAGATTTTTTTAAATGATAAGATATAATAGAACTTGTGATTAAAATACTGATTCAGAAAGTTATTTCAACACTTATTCACCACTCACCTGTTTACTGTTTCTTCTTCCAGAGAATGGAGTTCAGTGGTGGAGGATTACTTTTGTGAACCTGAGAAGGAAGCACCAGGTGCCTATATATTTGGCCTCATTTACATCCTTCTTTAAGCCCACTGGCTCCCTAAGTATACTTTTTTTTTTAAAGTACTCTCACTCATATTGAAAAGAACCAAAAAGCTCTCTTCTCCATGGTCAGGAGACAAATCATAGAAGGACAATGTGTATATTACTACAAACACAAAGAAACTATACCACAACCCCTGACTGAAAATAATGTAGAAAACTTTATTTATGTTTGCAGTACAGAGCAAAACAAATAAAACCAGAACTCTATGTAAACAAAAGAGTGGTTGCTGCTAAATCAAAAGCCGTAGCAGCATCTCCTTTTAATAAATTAAATGGTTGAAAACAATACTTAAAAGTTTCACAAATTTCCTTTAATAAATCTATTTTCCTTAATAGTTCACTTCTATTTAACACAAGTTGGGACATAAAAATTCTGTTGGAGACACTCATGGATGGAACTAATGCTGGATTCAAATTATACATGATGAAAAGAAAAATAAACCAGAAAAAAGAACACATAAATATGCTTACAGTGTAACTGTTATTTTAATACACACAATAAAGAATTTTTATCATGTTTAGGGGGAATGAGGATTGGTGGGATCCCTGGGGCCACAAAGATCAGAGGCAATGGAAGATAAAGAGCAGTGATCTTTCTCCTGCCACAAGGAACCTGTCAAACAGACACTGCAGTTCAAACTTCAGCTTTTAAGATAGCTATGGAAGGCAGAGAGCCAGCAGTAGGAGAAATTATATATTATCCTGCCCTGGTAAGACTTAAAAGCTGGATCTTGCCCCCAAAGCAGGAGGTCTTTGTCTTCCCTCTTGAAACAAAAGCCCCTTCCCCTAAGGTGCATTCTCTCATCAAGTTTTCAGTATTGCTTTATTTGCAGTGATTAAACCAGACAAGACATTTTGTAGACAGACAACATAAGCAACACATAGACGTGAAATGCTCTAGACAGATGAATATAAATCTGGCCTAATAACCATTTTTCCATGTAACAGTGATTTCGTATTTTAGGGATTAAGGTAGTGGCATTGTTAATAAGTCACTAATTCCCTCCTCCCTTTAAAAGATTCTTACAGAGTTCCAACCACAAATAGCACTTCTAAAATTACCTTATTTTCTGCCCATATTTATTCTGTATAGGAAAAATATGTATATAACTTTGGCCAGGAGTATGTGTAAATTTTGGGAAATTCCTGGGCAGGATGACCTTTACAGTATTGGAGTCTTGAAGATCTTAGGTCCTAGGGGACCTGACCCATTACTACTATACTCAACTAAGCAGTGGAGTGTTGCAATGGGAGTTGTAAACAAAATTTCTATTCCCCGCAGGAAGGAGCAGAAAAAAAGACATAAGATACTGTCTGCTTTGCTACCCACAAATGGGCCTGAAGTTTGAAAGAAGAGCAAAAGGAAATGACTTAATTTCTTAAGCCATAAATCAAAATGACTTAATTTCTTAAGCCATACTGAACGATTTTCTTCTTTGTCCCTATGTGTCAAAAGAATTATTTGTGACTGAGAGCTTATTCCAAATCTCACTGGGTAATCAAAAAAGAGTGGCACTATTTATCATTAATAAAGTGAAATTAAAAGCAGCTGTGAATACAGGAAAGAAGACAGTTTCTTAAATACCCATCTTGTACAAGAAATGAAAATTTCACATATTTGAAATTACTGCTTAGCCACACACATAGTTTCCCTATGCTGATAAGCCAGGTGTTTTGTGATAAGTAAATTAGTAAATAAAAAGATGAGTTTGTAAAAGTATTTCCTTGGCACATTTAGAACTTTCTGGAAAAAAAAAAAGAAGACTGGTGGCTTGGATAATACTTCAGAGCCAAATTTCTTCAGTCAGAATGAAGAATAAAAGGAAAAGGGGGGAAATGCTCGTATTTGGGCCATTTAGTTGAGTGCCTCAAGTCTATAACCTTAGGGATGAGGCCATAGATTACTTAGTGAAAACAAATTTTCTTGAATCAGGCCATTGTCAATTTGTATGCATTTTTAAGTAGGTAAGGAGAGTAGCAGCTTGATAACTTTGGCACTATGGAAACGGTATGGCTCTAGAACTTCCAGTTCCATTGCTGAATTCCCCCTTTTAAAGACAGTCCAGAGCTTTCAGAGAATGATATTAGCCAGTCTTCCTAGTATTTGTTCCTCAAGGGTTCTTGATCCAGGCCTAGTAACTTGAGGCATAAAAAGGAGGAAAGGAGAACCTAGTGGCCAATGTGCATCATGACCTGTTTCTACATAACAGCTTGTATATTTTGCCCTTGTCGCATAGATAACCAGAGACTACTTGGGTAAATTTTAATAGCTACTCCTTGGAATTTCCTTAGTTTAGCCATTTAAAGAACCTGAAAGAGACCAATCCTTAATTTTTTTTTTTTTTTTTTTTTGTGTGTGTGTGTGTGGTAACAGTGCCTGTGTTACAACCACAGAATTTGTTTTGAGCTAAGAGAAACAAACAGCTGAAATATACATGGACACAGTGTAGATACTTAAACCTGACATTCTGGGGCAATCTTGTTTTTGAGGGAGAAGGAGAGGCTGCTGCCATGTTTCGTGTTTTGTAGATTATGTACCCTAACAGAGTCCTAGAGAACAGAAGGTACACTAAAGAAATAATTAGCTATAAAAGGTTTACATCTTGGCTTGCCACTGGTTATTTTCACAAGGATAATAGGCTCCCATACACCTAGCCACAAATTCTTTAGTAAGGTGAGGCTGTCTCTGGCAGTTACCCCTGTGGTGTTATCATTGAACCATGACTTCTGAGACTCATCTTTAATGTTGGCTGTGAACTTGCTTTTTGTCTTTAGTTGAATTTCTAGCATTCCTTTTATCATGCTGCTGTCTTCAACAGTGCTAAAAGGTTCCCATTTATTGGCTTTGTTAATCCTAACTTGCCTTCTCTTGGTACTGAATGGTTTTGGGACTTGATCATTCTTCTGATATTGAAGGAGTATTTGCTGCTTCTGTCATTATAAGGGAGCCAAGAACAGATCTATAAGTATTCTTGAACAAGTACTGGAGGCTCAGCTCATCAAAAGTTCAGTGTTACGTGTACAGAACACAGGACTCTAGTTGAGTGAGTGTGGTAATAAGAACCATCACTTTTCCATGGAGGATGGAAGCCTTTTAGAAAATGAAAGACCAAGCAGAGTCATTCCGGAGCAGATTATGAGTAAATGGTGATCACTTCACTGCCACCACCCCGGACAAGGAGGACTCGTTCTAGTCCCTCGGTGAGTACTTCTAGAAACTCCATGTCTTCAGAATTTGTCAAGGAGACAAACAGGCAGAAAAGTTCACTTTACAACCTGGCATCTCTTATCTGGTATTATCTGATAACAGCATGCTTCTTAATTATATAGTCAGACTTGGAGAAGTCTGAACATTTGTTTTTTTTTTTTTGTTTGTTTTTGTTTTGTTTTGGTACCAGGGGTTGAACTCAGGGGCACTTGACCACTGAGCCACATCCCAGCCCTATTTTATATTTTATTTAGAGACAAGAGTCTCACCGAGTTGCTTAGCACCTCTCTTTTGCTGAGGCTGGCTTTGAACTTGCAATCCTCCTGCCTCAGCCTCCCGAGCTGCTGAGATTACAGGTGTGTGCCACTGTGCTCAGCTAAGTCTGAACTTTTTAAAAAATTTTTTTTAAATTTATTTTTTAGGTGTAAATGGACACAACGTAATGCCTTTATTTTTATGTGGTGCTGAGGATAGAACCCGGGTCCCGCCCATGTAGGCGAGTGCTCTACCACTGAGCCACAAATCCCAGCCCCAAGTCTGAATTTTTGATTCATTAACCCTGTGAAGTAATCCAGGGATATAATACCTTTGCATATATAAGATTCTTCTATTTATTAGATATTTTCTAATGTTATTAAGAAATGAGGGAGTCCATAGTAATGTTATTCTAAATGATAAAAATGCAAAAAAAAAAAAAAAAAAAAACCCAACTACCTCACAACAATCCAGAGAGCACCCAATAATTTCTAAGTGAAGCCATTCAAGTCAGATTTTCCTGCCACTTCTTTTTTCATTTTTTTTTTTTTTTTACTTGTAGTTGGACACAATACCTTTATTTCGTTTATTTTTATGTGGTGCTGAGGATCGAACCCATGTGTGAGGCGAGCGCTCTACTGCTGAGCCACAACCCCAGCGCCCCTCCTCTTTTTTTTTTTTTTTTTCCATTTTTAAACCTCTTTTCTGTAATGGCAGGAATGGGCTAGTCTGTGTTGTTGCAATGCTGAAAGTTTCCAATTAAAACAATTCTGGGATGAAAGTATTAGGGAAAATCCCTTTTTTCTTTCTTAACTTTGAGTCTCCATTCTCAGCTGCTTCTCTGCTAACTCCATCCAAAAGAAAAAGGCTTTGCAAAATGGATAGAAAAAAGAATGTGGATATTCTGTCTCTAGGATGGTCATTTAATATAAGACATCAACTAAAAAGTCTTTAGGGTTCAGAGAGAATATATTGCATCCCCAACTTCCCAAAAGGAGATTAATCAGTCTTACCACTTTGTAAGAATCCTTGCCTAAGACTTTAAAAGTCTGAGTTCCTCAAAGAGGGAAAGTGGGGCATAGACAATAACTTTTATGGTTTCCTAGATGTCTCATCTAAGAAATGAGCTAATAAGATTTTCCCAACTGGTGGTTCCACTTTCAAAAAGGATACAGTTTTCATCACCCTCAGGGTTTCGGGGTGGCCCTGGCATATTCAACAAAACCAGCTTTGCTTCATGGGACTTGTTAACTATAACCTCATTGAGCTTCACTGCTGTATGCATTCGTCTTACATTGGACTGGTCCCTGGGTGGGGAAGAAACAGACAGTTAAAGCAGAAAGAAAATAGTTACAATTGAATTTTAAAAACTTGAGGTCCAAAGCTTTTTTAACTTAACTAAGGATAATGTGATAAGTAAAATAATTTCCTTATGATAGTAAATCCCGAGTTTTCTCATTTAATAAGCTAACAGTATAGAGATGAACTATGTGAAGAGAAAGAAGATGGTATTGTGTACACTAATATGCATAGGCAAACAATAGAGAAATGGTTGGATGTGGGTGAAATGAACAGAATTCATCCTATGTGTTCAGTCAGTCACATCTGTGTCACTGACTAGGATACTGTTTTACATGATAAGCTTCTGAGAGAAAACTTACGGACGCATGTTAAGTAGGTCTTGGAATCCTTCCATTGACTTGGCTTTTTGTCCCCGGGATGCCATGTACTTGTCTTTTGTCCAAGTCATGTGCACCTTCTCCTGATAGGTTTCTGTCTCTTCATCCTCATCAGAGCCAATGCTGGTCAGTCGTAGCATTGAATT